CTGCTTTTTCTCCCTTGGATTCTTTCTTTCAACCTCCCCTGCTTTTCTTACCGTTCCACTCTGCTCAGCTGCCAGCAACTGAGTGAGATCCTCACTCTACTTTGCTCTTTTGCTCCCTGCTCTGCTTTCCCGATCTTTTTTACACCCAACACAGGAGAAAGAAGGACCAAAGATGAATAAAGGAGTCGCCTTTTTATATTCCCTCCACCATTGCATTTCCCCTGCTTCTGAGCTCTCTGACACTCCAATAATTCCCCCATTGGTGAATGGCGAAGCTCCATCTCCATAACCATTGTATAATTAAGTATACCCATTAAAAAAGGAAACAAACCAAATCCCCAGAACCTCAATCATGAGCTTCTTTCTTCTTCTGCTTCTGCTCTTCCTTCTGAGCTTCTCTTCCCGCCACTCAACTCAAGCTACTGACCTCAACTCTGACAGGGAAGCCCTCCTGGAGTTCGCCTCCTCTGTTCCCCACATCAGGAAGCTCAACTGGAACGCCTCCCGACCCGTTTGCTCCACCTGGGTCGGAGTGTCCTGCAACCCGAACAATACCCGCATCGTCGCCGTTCGCCTCCCGGGGGTCGGGCTGTTCGGAAACCTCCCGCCGGACACACTCGGAAAGCTCGATTCCCTCAAGGTGCTCAGCTTGAGGTCCAATGGCCTCTTCGGCAGCATCCCACCTGATATCGCTTCGATTCCGTCGCTCATGTACCTCTACCTGCAACACAACAACTTCTCCGGCGAATTCCCCGGCGGAGCAATCTCCCCCAAGTTGACCGCACTCGACCTTTCCTTCAATTCCTTCTCCGGTCAAATCCCGGTGTCGGTTCGGAACCTGACCCACCTCACCGCTCTGTACCTCCAGAACAACTCCTTCTCCGGAGGCTTGCTGAATCTCGAACCCTTGGAAAATCTCAAGCTCCTGAACCTCAGCTTCAACTATTTCAATGGCGAGATCCCTCCCTCGCTCCAGCGATTCCCTTTCCGCTCCTACTTCGGCAACGCCTTGCTCTGCGGGCAGCCGCTCAAGCGCTGCTCGACGGCAGATTCCTCTCTGCCTCTTCCACCTCCCCCTTCGTATCAGCTCCCGTCGTCCAATTCCACCGGGAAGAGGAAGCTGAGCAGGAATTTCATCGTCGCCGTGTCAATTGCAGGGGCAGCGATTCTTTTGATGGCGGTTCTGGCGGCAGTGTTCCTCTGCCTCCGCCGCCGCCGCGGCGGCGTCGGAGGAAAAAGGAAAGGGAAAGGCGAAGGAGCGAATAACCACGACAAAACGAAGTCGTTTGGGAGCGGAGTGCAAGGGGCGGAGAAGAACAAGCTCTTCTTCTTCGAAGCGAGTGGGCATACTTTTGACCTGGAGGATCTGCTGAGGGCGTCGGCGGAAGTTCTCGGGAAAGGCAGCTTCGGGACGACGTACAAGGCGGCGCTGGAGGACGGCCGGTGCGTGGTGGTGAAGCGACTGAGGGAAGTCGTGGTGGTCGGGAAGAAGGAGTTTGAGTCGCAGATGGAAGCCATTGGGAAAGCTGAAGGCTCCCACCCTAATGTCGTTCCCCTGAAAGCTTACTATTACTCCAAAGACGAGAAGCTCTTGGTCTACAGCTACTTCCCCGCCGGCAGCTTCTCCTTCCTCTTGCACGGTAAGTAGCTACAGAATCGAATTAGGGTTCAATTGACAAAATTAGGGTTTTGCTCTGCCTTTACCGAATCGAAATTAGGGTTCAGTCAAACTGATTCTAGAACATTAAATTGAGGACAGGAAACAGAGGAGGCGGAGAAGGAAGCAGAACGCCGTTAGGTTGGGAACCAAGAATGAAGATAATCATCGGAGCGGCGAGAGGAATCGCCCACATTCACTCCCAATTCGACGGCACGACTGCAACCTCCACCGCCGGTGGTACCAAATCCGTCCACGGAAACATCAAAGCCTCCAACGTCCTCCTCACCGCCGACCTCGACGCCTGCATCTCCGACGTGGGTCTAGCTCCGCTGATGAACTTCCCGGCCACCATGTCCAGAACCATGGGGTACAGAGCTCCCGAAGTGATCGAGACCCGGAAACCCAGCCAGAAATCCGACGTCTACAGCTTCGGGGTCCTGCTGCTGGAGGCCCTGACGGGGAAAGCGCCGATGAGAGGTCCCCCCGGCGGCGGCGGGTACGACGAGGTGGTGGATCTGCCGAGGTGGGTGAGGTCGGTGGTGAGGGAGGAGTGGACGGCGGAGGTTTTCGATGCGGAGCTGGTGAGCAGCCGGAGCGTGGAGGAAGATATGGTGCAGATGCTGCAGATCGCTCTGGCTTGCGTGGCGAAGGGTCCCGAAATGCGGCCCACCATGGATGAAGTGGTGAGGTTGATTGAGGAGACTGTGAGACCCAATTCCGCCGTCGGTGAGAGGAAGAGCGAGAGCGAGAACACCAACGACGGCAACAATAGGAGGTCGTCTTCCGAGGTTGAGACGACGCCGCCGTCGAATGTGCCGACGCCGTCGAATGAGTGATCATTGAAGGAAGGAAGGAAATATGTAATGTATGATTTTGATTGTATGATCAATGTATGTTTGGAGAGGTGGAAAATTCCCGATTTTCCTCTGTTCATTATGGATTACCAGAAAGATGTAATTTCTTTCGCGAGATTACAGAGGTGGATAAATGGACTTTTCAGTTCTAGATAGGGCTTCGTGTTTAAGGCCCAAATCACGTCAACAAAGAGCCTCGACACTTGCTGGGCTTTACAGCTCAAATGTGTTTTTGGGTGAAGGTTACAGCCCAATTTTTTTGAAGAAATTGTTGAGATACATCAAACTTACATTGTCTATTAAGAAATTGTTGGTATATTTTAATCTAGGATTAATAGATTTTTAAGATCATATAATTTGAATTGTATTAAAATGATAGTATCTTTGTTGACTTCATATAGTAGATTTATAAGTGTTATAATTGAAAATTTATAAGTAAAGTCTTATGTATAATAATGTTGGAGGCACGGGGCGGGTATTACCCAAGTGTACAGGGAAGAGTTTGCTAAAACTTCACCGCATGGGTATGGGGCGAGTACGAGTTTGGATATTTATAAATGGGAATGAGAATGATTTAGACAAACTCACCCCAAACCTGTCTCATTGTCATTCCTATTAAGATTTGATAAATTCAAAGAATTAATAATGAACAATTTGTTAAACGAGGCTAAATCAAATCAAAACGAAGCAAGCGATACACAGCAATTTACTTGGTTTCCCTACGAAAAGTAAGGACTAATACTTGGGAGCTGTCCAATCTATTGACAGTTGTTATGCATGTATTGTCATATGTTATCGTTTGTTTGATTGGGTGCAAACATGTTATCCTTAAAATTTCACAATAGCATGCAGTGAAAGAAATACACTTTTTCTCGTTGAATTTTTTACATATTTGAATGCAAATACGAGTGATTAGAAAGTAACTAAAAGCTCATACTATAAAAGGGTAAATTGCAAGTTTGGTCACTGAGTTTACTAAAAAGTGTCATGTTTAGTCACTCGAAATAATTAATTTCAGTATTGGTCATTCGAATTAGTAAAACGGTCCACATTTAGTCACTTTCCGTTAGTTTCTGTTAACACCATTAGTCAATTGCTGATGTGGCAAACAAAAGTGCCAACTCACCCTATTTTAACCCGCCACATCACCAAATCCGACCCGCCACGTCACGCAACCCGCCACCTCAGTTTTTCCATCCCAACCCATAAACCGACCATTCCTAAACCACTGACCGGTCGTCGTCTGATTCCTCACCATCTGTCTTGACTCCACGATCGTCTCATCCGCTTCTCTCCTTCTTTTCCACCGACAAACACCAACTGACCAAAGAAAAAAGAAAAAAGCAGAGCAACAGCCAAATAAACTTCATTAGAGACCCAACGCCAGCCACAATTATTATTACTCCAACAACTTCTACGACCACTGTTGCCAATTCCTCCTCTTCCTCTCTTCTCTCCCCGCCATCACAATATTCTCTCACTCCTTCACACTCCTTCCTCCTCCACAGCTGCCTCCCAATCTTCTCCCGCTATTAGCCACCTATCATCAAAGATGCAGAAAATAAGAAGTCGCTTCGCCCTTCTCTCCATCTTCTCCCCAAATAAGTCCGACCTTCTCTTCTTTTGGGCCCTGAGCTTCGAGAAACTGAACCCATATCTTGGATTGCGAAGAAACGAAATCCAGAATTCCAGATCTGGTCGTGTTGGAGTGGGATTGGAGCGCCCAATTTGTCCTGCTTCTCTGGATTTGGAATGGTCGATTTGGGGAAGAAGAAGAGGATGGAATTGGTGGCAGCTCAAATTAGAGATGAGGGAAAGAATGATTTCCTCGCCTGCCGATCTGCTACTGTGGTTTTGGGAATGGAGCGACCGGCGGCGAGCCTCAGCAATCGGCCGGAACCATTATTGATTTCTAGGGTTCACAAGGAGGCAGGAGAAGAGGAAGCAGACGGTTGCCTCGCCCATCGATCAACCTCTGCTACTCTAGATTTAGGATTGGAGCGTCCGATGGCGAGCCTCAACCGTCAACTGTAGCCAAGGCTGTTGATTTCTAGTCTATGATTCGCGAGGAGGAAGGAGAAGAGGTGTGGGGTTGGGTCGACTCTCGCCTGCCTGAGTTGAAGAACTCATCTCGAATAATGAAAAAAATCCCAAAACAATTTTTTTTTGGGGAGGGATGGTTTATGGATTGGGTTGGAGAAATTAAGGTGGCGGATTGAGGGACGTAGCGGGTCAGATTTAGTGACGTGACGAGTTAAAATAGGGTGAGTCAGTACTTCTATTAGCCACATCTGCAATTGACTAACGGTGTTAACAAAAACTATCAGAGAGTGACTAAACGTGGACCGTTTTACTAATTTGAGTGACCAACATTGGAATTAAGTATTTCGAGTGACTAAACATAACACTTTTTCGTAAATTCAATGACCAAACTTGCAATTTACCCTACTATAAAATTGAGTTTCACACATTATTTTTCACTTTTCTAGTATAACTTCCAATCCAATTGTATGATATTTTTACAAATAAACCTCTAGCTCTAGCTCTCAAGTATTGAACTAATACATCACACCATACACCTAGGTGATTGATCAAGGGGGCGATAATTTTTATTTACTGATAACATATCGTATCCTTCATTTTAAACCAATCGAAGTTGAGAAATGTTTTTTTGTGATAACGTGAATATTTATTTATTTATTTTCTTATTCCTAACTTCAGTAGAAGGAAGAAAATATTTATCCTTAGCAACCCCTTCCAAAAGGGAAAGAAGATTTGTAAAACAGGAACCTTTCTTTTTACCCCTTGCTGCCTTAGTCGGGGTAAAAAAAAATATGGCTTCAAATTCAACGATGTAAGTTTTGCTCCTGAAGAAATCCTGGGATGCTCAAAACGCAACGATTTGCATCCCATTCTTCCAGGATTTTTTCAAAGGTATATTAATTAATTAAAATTTCTTCTTCTTTGCAATCTTGTTCTTTTAGTCTCTTCTCTCCAAAATGCAAATCATGATCAAAGGTTCTTTTGAGTGTGTTGATTCGATGTTCATCGTCATTGATTCACTTATATCGATTGAAAATTTGGAACACCTTCAAACATGTTTCATAGGAGGTTATCTAGAATGTGATCGCATTGAAAATTTTTGAACCGTTTTGGCTTTTTCTTTTATTACAAGGCCAAAGGATTAGTGGAAAAAGCAACAAAATGATCGTCAAAAAGTGTTGAGTGAGATTTTCTTAATTCTATTGACTTGTTTCTTTATTCAGATAGTAAGACAGACATAAGTCAAATTTCTAATTTGTAGATAATCTAAATGACTTACTTTTCCTTTCATCCATAGGAAACAAATATTTCCGGGGGCAAATTGTAGAGATACACTAACATTTTCCAATTGATCAAAGCTATGACACGAAGATGTTGTTGGCCAAAGGTAATTCTTTACACTTCTAGATTTCAAAATATTGCATTTAACATCCTCCTGTTCTTTTTAAGATTTAGTGATGTCAACGTGGGTTTGAGTGCAGATATTTCGTAGTTGTTGCAATTTTAGGTGTTGTAACGATGTGAATGACAAAGATAATCATGATGAGAATAACGCCGACGACAAGAATCATCACATAGAGCTAGCCACGGGAAGGGTTCAACTCATCAACACGATCCAGAATTGGGATGCCAAGCTCCTCGAGACCAAGAAACCTGGCAAGATTGTCATCCTCAATTTTAGCTCTTCCTGGAGTAGTCCCTGTAGGAGAATAGCTCATCCCTACTGCAAGCTTGCTGAGAAATACCCTTCTATCACATTTCTTACTGTCGACGTAGATGCACTTGCGGTACAAATCAAACAGCACTCCCCCATAACAATGCTGAAAATTGTTTGAAGAATGAATCTCATGTTACTTGTGATCGTCGCAGGAAATGAGTTCGACATGGGAAGTCAAGGCCACACCCACATTTTTTTTCTTGAAAGAAGGGAAACAAGTGGACAAACTTGTTGGTGCAGACAAGCAAGAGCTCAAAACGAAGATTGCTAACATTGATAGTCTACCTTCATAGTATTCCCAGGAACAAGTGCAAGTGATTGTTTTGAATAGAGATTTGCCCTTATCTTTTTCTTAGTGCTCTCTCATCAGCAAAACAAAATGTAAAACAAGTATGATAAAAAAAGGATTCAAAGAGGAAGAGAGATGTATATGTTTATGGAAGTAGTATGGTTGAGCATACATGGATTGTAATTTTGTAGTAATACTTTTGCATGCAAAGTGTAGATTTATTTTCTTTTCCATGCTTTTGAAATTTTGGAAACCAAGGACATCTATTGAGAGGGCTCAAAAGAAGGATGATTTTCACTATATCTCCATTAAAATGCTCATATTGTCCGAGTTCTTTGATTGTAGAATATATGTTTTATGTAGTCGATATATCTTCCTCTCTAGGTACGTAGTGTTTTCTCTACAACTTTCAGCTTTTGGAAACGACAATTTTCATTTGGTATGCTCAATCGACCTCGTTTAAGGAGTGTCCGTTTCTCTTTTACACTTCCATAAGTCTTTCCATATTTCCTCTAGTTCCTCATCCAGCTCGTCTTATGCCATTTGGTAAGCAGATCTCGACCTGAATCTGTCATCTTTCTCAAGTCCCCAGTTTTTTTTTTTTTTTTTTTGTCTTCCTCAAGTCCAGTCTAAGGAGTGTGCATTTCTCCACTACAAGACATAATATCACGAGGAAGGTACTTCCTAAGTCTAGCCCAATCTCATTCACCATCGATAGTAACCCATTTAGCCACTAAGGAATCTCTTTCGCTTTCAGTGGTGCTAAACAAATAGATGGTTTTTTTAAAATGGTTTCACATTCTAGTCGGGAATGATTCCAGAACTCCATAGATTCTTGTGTCTTAACACTCTAATCTTTGGCTTTTCTCATTAGCAATATTGCTTTGTGAATATATTTCTAAAGGTTAGAGTGTGGTTTCTAATTTTAGTGGAAGTGATCTTTTCATTCTTGTATTAGAAAATATTTTTCTTGCATATCTCCACTTGAAAGGTCATATTCATTGTTCAACATAAGACACAAATTTGATCATGTAAGTCATTAGCCTTTGAAAAACTATACCAAGCTCATGTAATTGGTTTGGTTGGTGTTCTTGGAGTAGAGGAATTCGAGAAAACCTGAGCCATGCAAGTGTAGACACGCTACATGTAAGATCTTGTCCTAAAATCATAGGTAAGCATCATTTCCAATATTATAACCTTGTCCTGAAAATCTGAAACACCACATTTAAGCAATTTTATTTTAATGTACCAGAACAAATAGAATCAACAATGGGGATGTAGCTCAAATGGTAGAGCGCCCGCTTTGCATGCGGGAGGTACAGGGTTCGATCCCCTGCATCTCCAATTTTTTCATGTATTAGCTGTTTGAACTGCAAAGCTTTAAAACCCTCTGCTTTTTAACAAACTGTATTATACGTACTGTAAAACTGTGCCAAGAGCAATTAACAATGTAATACTGGAAAACCTGTATTCCCTCTGACACGCCATGGAAGAAGCTCTCAACTAAGTAGCCCTAGCTGCAGCAGGAGCCGCGGCAGCAATGTTGAGGAGGAGACCGGTGAGCAGGAATGGTGAAGAGAAGAAAGGACTGTGGTCGCAATCCAATGTATATACTCGAGAAGGAGGCCATCGATTGATCATGGCATCCTGCTGCTCCGGCTTCACCACATTGTCCTGCATCGTCTTGATGTAAACCCGCTCCACCCCTTCTGCTGCCGCGGAATCATCAGCATAATCATCGTCGAACCGAGCGGATTGGAGGGCGATAAGGGGGCCCGGCTTCAGGAGCATGGCGGCTAAGGTGCAGTCCTCCGGCGGGCTGGTGTTGTACAGGATTTCGCGGAGCAAGTGGGTCGCCACCTTGGCCGATGTGGGCGGGTTGTTGGGTCCTTTCGCGAACTCGAGCTCGTTCACATTTTCGCCATATCTTGAAAGGTCTGGAACTGCCTGTGAAAAATATTATGGAAGGCATGCATCAATTAGTGCAAGGAGAAGCAGTCAAACAAGTAATCAGCCTCTGAAACTTTGGAGGGCAATCCTCTCCCAATAAAAAATAACACAGACTAGATTGGATGTTGAGTAAATTTCAGTGACCAGGAAGTGAATAGGCCAATTGAGAATTATTGGTTGATTATGATCAATGATTGAAAACTGATGTAACTTTTGCATCCTCGTCTGATTTCTGTTCATTGATAGAAATCTACTATTGTAGGTCTCTATGGATTTGAAAAGATAGGTGATGCAAAGTTTTTTTTTTCTTTCTTTCACTTAAGAAATCTAAAACCTAAATGCATGAATCTATGAAAGTGATAACATCAATTAGTGCAATCTAATTAAACATGCTGCCGGGGATACAGAGTCAACAAAAGGAGTATCATCCTACTTGTCGATAATACGAGAATGATAACATGATAACATCCACGATTCGTTATGCGGTAGGTAGCTATCAAGGTTGTCAACTCGCGGGTTGACCCGGACCCGGTGGAGCTAGTGGGTCACTCGTTTTAGCCCGGAAATATGGAAAGCGTCATTATATTGTACTTATCCTGATAAGTTATATCAAATCTCATCTAACATATGAGTTATAACATATAATATTACACCAAAATAACATTTCGTACTTAGATTCAACATATAGTGAAAATTCACACTCACTTATATAACATTAATATTCAAATGTTCAACTTAGGATTCCAAAGATTGAGTTAGGCGAAAAGAAAAATCGGAAAATAGGCGCATTTCGCAAAACAAAGAAAAAAATAACACAATTTGACCTCCAACCTGGTACCTTGTGGCGGTCGACCCGGCGTGTGCATGCGGCCCGTTTTTCTCACCGGGTCAGGGTCAAAGGTTGTCAACCCGCGGGTCGAAAAATAACACAATTTGACCTCCAACCCGGTACCTTGTAGCGGTCGACCCGGCAAGTGCATGCGGCCCGTTTTTCTCACCGGGTCAGGGTCAAAGTGGGTCAACCCGCGGGTCGACCCGCGGGTTGACAACCTTTGACCCTAACCGGTGAGAAAAACGGAACCCGCGGGTTGACAACCTTTGACCCTAACCCGGTGAGAAAAACGGGACCCGCGGGTTGACAACCTTGGTAGCTACCAAACAAATGACTACTCCAACCCTTTTCGTTTTGGAGTGCGTAGTTTTGATGGGATGGGTATACAAGTGCAGATACAACCGTAGATAGGCTGACGACAAGGTATAAAAAAAAAAAACATGCAAATTGCAAGCCAGCCAGGCATATAGCAGGATAATAACGAATAAGTGGGAAGACAAACCAATTCTGGATATATAAAAACGCATACAGTCCCCAACTAGCTGGCAAGAAAACAAAACAAATACCAAACAAAAGTTCTATAGTGATCATCAATAATTTCAAGGAGCTAGTAGACAGCAATGTATTTTTTGTCTGTATGACTTCGAATTTTAAGTTTTTTTTAATGATAAATAAGAAAATATTGACAAACATATCATTGAACAACATTATCTAAAATATTTGTTGAATTTAGTCATATAAGTTAAATCGCGTGTTGGTATTTAATCGGCATGGTTTTATCGTGATTTTCTAATGATTGTTGTCGGATTTTTGTATACATAGTTTCAAATAGTCTGTAAAAATTCATATCCTCCAAACATTAATAAAGAATAACTGAACAAAATTTACAATTCACCTACGTACGTTACTTGTACCGAATATGTGACTTTAGTCTTATTTGTGATATCATATCATCCCACATTAGTCCATTGTATCGGTTAAAGACAATATTAACCTAAACCAATACAATTTTTTCACACTACTTATGATTGTTAAACATATGTAATATCAGACCGCTAATTATTTCAAACCGGTAATAAGGTTAAAAAAAAATTATGAGATAGGTCAGAGGAGAGAGAAAAAAAAAAGAGGTGGGAGGTTTGGCAGAGATGGAGACAAGAATAACGTACATCGAGGACGTCGCGGTCGGTGCAGAAACCGTGCTTGAGCATGGTGGCGGCCAGGTAGACGGCCACTCGAATCTTGCTTGGGAACTTGTGGCTCGCCTCCGTCACGCTCAGCCCTCCGGCGCTGTGCCCCACCACCACCACCTGCAACTTTCATCCATTCATTATTATAATCCAATTCCCCCCAATTGCCCAACCCAAAATTCAAACAATTTCTTCATCGCACTGATTTCCCCGCCCCGACAACAGTCCCGGTCGCCGATGAATTGAACTCGAGCAATCGATGCGCATAAATAATATAGTATTGATCATATCTCTCACCTGCTCGTTCTCCGGCAACGACGCCATCAGGTCGAGCAGCGGCTTGTTGTACTCCTGGAACGACTCCAGCGTGTTGGCGTCGGTCCGGTCGACGCCGGCGCTGGCGAGGTCGACGCACGACACCCTGCAGTGTCCCGAGGACTCCAGCAGGGTCCGGATTTTGTACCAGCACCAGCTCCCGTGCCCGACCCCGTGGACCAGCACGACATGATGCGTCGGTGCCGGTGCCGAGTAAGTGTTCGGTGAAATGCCTGACCGGGCTGATGATGACGATGTTCCTTCGGATTCCATTTTTGTAGATTCAAATCAAATTCCACCCCGGCCGGCCACGCCGATTTCTCCGATGCTATATAGACAGAGGAAAGCGGTCAACAGAAACCAGTCTGCCGGCCAGCACCAGCAGCAGGGATGTGGCTGAATCTTTTGACGTTTAGCGGTGGAAGTGGTATCGGAGCTTTTGTTCCTCTGCTCTTTTTCTCCTTTTGTTTGGTTTTGCTTGGGCCTGTGTTTTGGGTGGTGGATTAGTGATTTATGTACCTTTTTTTTTTTTACACAATTATGTTATAGAGTGCTACTAAAGGGGTGGGGAAGGAAGAAACGAGTGTCGTTTCTAAGATTCGAATTTGGAGACTCCAAACTGAAAATAAGCGGTACGACCACTCAGTCACGGTCTCATTCGTGATTTATTTCTTTTTTGTCTGCCAGCTTATAATCATCGACTTAAGTAAGGTTAGGTGTGGTCAGGGCTATTAATGAACCAATCCGCTAATGTCTATGATATTGTACCTACTCCTAAAGTCTAGTAATTGTCCAAAATGTTTTTGTTTAGTAAATACTAAATAGGCAGACCTATTTAATTTTTGACCCATAATGCTTTGGTTTGTTGTGCACGTGAAAATAAAATGGGGAATCACGAAAGTTTGGTTTGGTTGGTTACATGGAAGTATAAATAATTTTGTATATTAGGTGTATCATTAATTGGTTAATTGGTTTCATTGGTTAGCAGTGTTGAAACCAAACCATACCACCTAAACCAAATAAGCTAAATTGTTTAACCAAACCAGACCAATTATCCAAATTAAACAAACCAAATTAACCGAATGTTTCCGGTTAATATGATTACCATGATAATCAATCCGTTTGAACACCCCTATTTATTTATAGCAAATCGTATGTAAATTATATATCTTAATATTTTGAATACGTGAGAAAATATGTTACAAGACCATAAGGGTCAGATATCCCAAAACATTCTCCCAACCCACATTGTCATGGGCCAAACAGTGGGCCACCTGATTTGTTGACTGCTGGCAAAAGCCCAATTAACAACACCTCCCCACTGAAGCGGGGAAGAATCCTCTCGTGGGCAGCCCCTCTATCTAGCCTGACGAGTCGAGTTCTCTCGTGGGCTTTCGCGCTCTGCTCTATGTATTCTGTTGCTCATCAGTTAGCCCATGTTTCCTCAAGTCCAGACTAGGAGTATTGGCCCGATAGACCTTGTTTTCGTTTCGTATTGTGCTCGGCATCGTGAATATAAACACTTTAGACAAATTCTGCATCGATAATATATCACAGAGATTCATGATTTATAAATAAGAAATTGACATTAACCGTCAAAATACGTTTTGGTGTTAATTAGAAGAATTATTGTAAGAACTCTAAAGTTAAAACATTCTCATTATGAAGCAATGCAAATGTGAGTGGTGTCTCGAGTAATCATCTTTATATGCACATCAAGACAAAAAATATACCCTAGATAGGAAGTTAGATAATATAAAATGGGGTAAATTACAAGGTTGGTCACTAGGATTACTAAAAACGTTCATGTTTGGTCACTAAAAATATTTAATTTCATTCATGGTCATCAAAATTATTTAAACATTTCAAGTTTGGTCACTCTCCGTCCAAGTCCGTTAACTTTTAACAAAATAAAATAAATAAATTTTAAATTTTTAAGATTCCAGCTCATTATGCAACTATAACAAAATAAAATAAAATTTTTTTTAGTTCTCGGACGCCGCGTCCCCTAATCGTTATGGACTTCAGTTCGTCCAAATTGTTGGGGATTTGGCCGGAGAATTTGTTCGAAGAAAGGTTAGGCTATCAAATTCCGCCCAAACGCCGGCTGGAATCTCTCCGGCGAATTCGCTGTAGGCGTGCCAAGCCAACTACCTCAGGGCTCTTATTTATTATACGGTGATCCGTATTTCAATTTGAAATGTCGCATGCTAATTACGAAAGCGATGAGATTTTGTTTCTTCCAATCTTTCCCAGTGACCAAACAGCAGAGCACAGGGATTCAGATCTCTTCAATGGCATAACCTTCCAGCGTGCTTCTGTGTGTCCAAAATCGAACCTTTAAGGGTTCCAAGATATAAAGATAATTGTTGCTGCAGCGCCGGAGCAAGAGGCGGCCGAGAGGGGAAGAGAGCGGACTTCAGGACGGTGACAGAGAGGCTCATCGGAGGGAGAAGAAAGGGAAGGAAGGGAGACGAAAGAACCCAAACCTAGAATACCATCATCATATCCTTCCTGCTTATTCCTTATCCACCTTAACATGGAAATGATTCCAATAATTCATTAATCGTTGGAACCCAAACCCTCGCAGAGCCTCATTTGCCAGGTGCCTCCTTCGATCCCCTTGCAATCGGAGGAATTGAGTAGAGAGAATCGAGCACTTCCAATTCTGCTGGAATGGTTGAATTCTCCAGAGCATGCAGATTGACGAAGGGAGGGCGCCAGCATGGTTGTTCCCGTAGAGAATATGTCGTGGAGATCGGAGGCATTGAAGAGAGTTGCTCTGGGATCGAGCCACGGAATAAGTTGCTGTGGAGGTTGAGGCGGTGGAGGTAGATTAGTTTGCCCAACTCCAACGAGATGTCGCCGCGGAGCCGGTGACGCTCATGCATGAAATAAGGGACCAGCGACAGGGGTTCAAGTCGGCGGAGTTTCAATGGGAGAATGCTCCGGTCGGCGAATCGTCGACGACGGATTTGAGGAAGAGGAGGGACAGTCCGTCAAGGGAAAGGGCGCTGGCGCCGGCTCATCGACCGCAATCGGATCGCCTGGCTAAGGGACGTGACGGGGAGAAGTAAAAGAACTTTTATTTTATTTTTTCATATTTGCATAATGATCTTAAAATTTTAAAATTTATTTTATTATTTTTTAATTGTCACATCACACATTTAACGGTCAACTATAAGAGTTGACTGCCACGTAAGCAAAAGTTAACAGACTTGGATGGAGAGTGACCAAACTTGAAATGTTTAACTAATTTTGATGACCATGAATGGAATTAAATATTTTTAGTGATCAAACATGAACGTTTTTAGCAATATTAAGGGAAATTTGATTTACGTGTTGTTTGTTTGATTAAATTAATGAACAAAGGGCATTAAAGGAAATTTGATTTAATTAGGGCGACGAATAAAAAATTTTAGAGCGACGAATAGCAATACCCAATTTTTAACCAATGATCGCGTTCAAACCTAGTTGATTATGGATGAAACATTGAACCAAAACGATCATAAGAGTGGTTAGGTAGGAGAAATGAATTATCCAAGGCCATTTTGGTAAACGAAGAGAATAACAAAAGGGAAAATCAAAAGAAAGGCGCCAAACTTGCCAATCAAAACCATGGCGGATGGTGTCGAGGTGAAGTGAGAATGAACTGGACAGAGATAAGAAGACAAGAAGGGGGTGGGGTTGGGATTTGGGGGAATGCCGGGAAATCTGGCCATGGCAGTTAGCGATTCAAACTTTTCTCCGCTTCGAGTTCCCCCCCATCTCCCTTCTTCTCTCTTTTTCCTCCCACCCAATTCGGCCAGGCTCGAAATTCAAAACCTTTTCTCCTTGGCACTTTCCAATTCCCACTCAAACCCTAATAAGTAATACTACTTTCCCTCTCTCTCCATCCCCAATTCTCCTTTTAATCTGAGTTGATCGTTCACCTGTTCCTCTAAATTTAATCAAGCCGCCGACCCACTCCCCATTCCTTCCTCCACCTTCTTTCTCTCGTCTTCGACCACTTCCTTTATTTACCCTCTGTGTCCTTCTAACCTTCTTCTTGTTCTCCGCCGGAATTGCAGTATCTGGTTGCTTCAGATCAACAAGGTCAGTGAACCCGTGTGCTTTCATTTTCCCTTTAATGGGTTCCTCCCTCTGGGCGATTGCTCTGGTTTGCTTCCGTTATCAGTGAATCAGTCAACATGTTGGAGCCTTCTTTTTTCTCTTTTACATGGGTTTACAAGTTATACTTGGCTGTACAGTCGCTGTCTTTTAACTTCACTGCTGCTTGGAAAGTTTATAACTTTTCCCGATTGAACTTGATGTAAATCCTACAGCAGTCTTGTACGTGGTAGATGTGAATTGGGTACTCAAGGGAGTGCCTTTTTTTCTTTTGGTTCTCGTCTCTAGATGAATGATCTGCTTGGTTGAATTGGTGTATGGAGAAACACTGTTGATTAGTAGTATTGATATGCAGAAGCTTCACCATGAATTGTTTGCTTGATGAATGAACTTAACAGGCTTATGCCAGTATGCCACAGTTGGTTGCGTGATCCTTTGGAAATAAATGTATTTGTTGATCTGGACGGGGTAACTAGCAAACAATTTGGACCTATGATCTATGTCTTGTTGATTTGAAGAGGTGTAAATGGATATGAAATGTTGCTTAGCTGGTGAAAGTATGAAAAAGGATTTGTTTGTGCAATTGAGCCGTACTAGATCTGTTCCTTTTTTATGCTTTCTTCACTTGCTCTCTGTATGATAAGGCTGCCGTCGATCTGGTGACACTTTGTAATATTTCTGCTTCTTTCCCAATTGAATTTCTGAATTTCCAATTCTCATGCTAATGATGTATGATTCTTTTGACAGGGATGGATCAGAATTTTCCAAACGTCCTGACTGCAGAAGATGTTGTCTACCCTGAGAAGGAAGCTATGGATCTTCAGCAAACCATGCCTGATTCCATTTCTGAAGCGGATGAAGTCTATACAATTTATGACCCTGATTCCCCTTTGCTGACTCCTGATACAAAGCTGGGTGGAAACAAGGTCCATCACCAAGTTGCATCTGCCAGTCCTAGTGGTGGCGCCAATAGTTCTGATCTCTCCTTAAAGGATGGATCTGAATCATCTGTGTCACAGTCAGACTCTGACTCCGAATCTTCCAACTCTAGCAATGCCTACTATAGTCTCCCTTTAAACATGGGTCGGAAGGGACTGTCGTACCAGCTAGGGAATGACGAAAAGGTAGAGATCGTTGTGGCTGATGAAAATAATGCAACTTATGAAGAACTGCTCAGGAAAGTATCCATGTACGAGAGCGAGTTGAAGCTTTCAAACCTAAGGCTGCAGAAGTCAGAGGAAGAGGTTTCCGGGTTGAAGAATGAACTGAGAAAGGGTGCTGAAAGTATGCAGTCTCAACTCCTATCTGCTCAAAGAGAGATCAAAGCTAGAGAAGGCGACCTTGAAGTTGAAAGGAGAAGAGTTGTGGAACTGGAGAATAGAATAGCTGAAGGTGCGTCAGAACTGCTGCACCAGCTGGAGTTGGCTAGAGAAGAGATAGCAGCATTGAAGGAAAGCAACTTGAGTTACAGAGACCAACTGTCGGACCAAGATGAAGAGGCGAAGGAGCTGAAAGCTGCAATGCTTTGCGTGGAGGTGAAATTCCATGCTGAAAGGTCAGAATTGCAGTCTTGCATATCAACCATGTCAGAGCAACAGACGCTGCTGGAGGCAAGCATCAAAGAATGCGAAGCTGAGAAGGTGGAGATGAAAGCTTCGCTTGATGCTCAGGCAATTCAGTTTGGAGCAGAGATAAGTCAATTGAAGGCAGAACTCGCTAGCAGAGGTGACGAACTGGAAGGCTTGAATAAGAACTTCGACACCTTCAAGCACAAACACGACATGGTCGTGGTGGAGAAGGATGAGTTGATTGCTAAGGTGAACACCATGAATGCTGAGCTGCGCTGCCAAGATGAACAGAGAAGGGAAGTGGAGGAGCATCTGAAAAGGTTGAATCTTGAGAATGGGGATTTGATTGCTGACTGTGAGAGTGGAAGGAAGTTGGTAGAGGAGCTGAGAATGAGAGTGGTGGAGCTGGAGAAGGAAGTGGATAGGCAGAAGGGTGAGCTCTTAGCAGGTGCTGAGGAGAAAAGGGAGGCGATTAGGCAGCTGTGCTTCTCGTTGGAGCACTACAGGAGTGGTTACAAAGAGCTTCGTGAAGCATTTGTTGGACAGAAAAGGCTTCGTGTTGTAGCCTAGTAAAGGGGAAAAGAAGGAAGCTTTGCAGTGTGCTGGTGAACTGAACTGAAATGAAGCTGCTGCTGTTCGTTGAAGCTTATGTTTTCAATAGTGGGATGTACTGTGAGATAGGTTTGGTTGGGAAAGCATTAAGATTTATCTAAACGACGCTCTTTTTCTGTTGTTCGAATTATTGTTACTAATTGTTTCTTCCTATGCAAGTTATAAGTCAAAAGTAATGGAAAAGCCAAACTGCATAATAGCGCTGTTTTTTTATAATGTTTTTTTAGTAAACACTAATCTGTCTTGTGGATATGATTCCTTATTTGAGCACAGGACAGGAGAGTGAACCGCAGCTGAGAAATGAGAATAACTAATAACAAGAAAAATGGTGAGGGAGAATAATATATAATAGGGTTTGCAGTTGTCAGAGTGGTTCCATAACCAGAAAGAATATATCTGAGAATTGAAGCCAAGGCGTGGGGAAGGCGAAGAAGGGAGTAGGTAAGGAAAGATTATACTATCAAACCACTTCATTTTCATCATATATAACTTTTGGATTGCTAGTTTGCTACCCAAAATATTAAATATTAATGCATTTCTATATCATCTCTCCACAAAACATTATGGGAGAGCATGAATGACAATTAGGAGGTACATTCTTTCATGTGCATATTCTTTTACGAGGAGAGTAAATTCTTATGTGGAATATCCGGGTTGAAGAATAACGATAGTACAACATGTTAGTCTGACATGTACATATTTCAATCTTAGAGTTTTGACGGTGTGAATGGAAATAAAAGAATGAGAATTAAAATGAAGCTCATTCATACAATATTGGTGAAATGTGAAAAGTAGGATTGAGTATTTAAGTTTCCCGTGCTGACCGAGGCTTTGGATCCAATCAACTAGAATTTATTTGATTTTTTGGTACTAGGTCAGATTGGCTTTTGTTGTTTTGTAAATGACATAAGATTCATAACTGAATATTACTCAATAGGTCGAGTTATTGAGATCAGTTGGTTCTTAACATAGTATCAAAGCATTCGATGACCTAGAGGTCTTGTGTTCGAATCTCGACAACCCCCATTTGTTAAGCACATGGTATACAAACTTGTGCAAACTTCAAGAGCAAATGAGTTGGCTTTCTTTCAATGGGCCATTTTAGTAAATGATATCATAATTGAACCTGTCACAACAAATTCTTGACATTGCGGTAAATTGTAACCAATTAGTGTCAAACCAATGCAATGGTTTGCTAGTACCTACTCGGTCCAACTACCAACAAACGAGAACCCAAGTGTTGTCGACTAGTTGGCTTGCAACTGCTCGAGTCTAGTCTCCACCCAGCAGCGGCATCTTTTCAGATGCACCCTTTCACTTTCTATAAATAGTATCGGTCCCCTATGTTTTCTACACTTGTTTTTCAACACCAAAACTCATGTCAAAATTTCTTTCTGCATTCTCCTCCCCTCCAAAACAAAAGAATTTTTTTTTACTAATGCGTGACTCTCTACGTTCTTGAGTTCGTTCAACTTTATGTGGTTTGAAGTATCGTTGTGTAGGGATGAACATCCGATCAGTTCATTTATAACCAAACCAAATTTAAGTAAATCCAAATCGCGCAACCCTCTTCAAACTATAATTGATTGAGTTATGTCCAAATTATAAATCGATTCCATTCGATCATCATGAACCTAATTATAGATCAATTAAGGTAATGTATTCCATATATAGCCTCTATCAGAAGACACTTCCATATATGCTATGTTGGGACTTTTTGGAAAAGGGTATACGTACGATAGCCCGAGACCGGGTGACCAGGATTGTGATAGAGTCGTGAACAACGTTCACTTTCCGTAAAGAATATTTCCACCCTCAACAAGCCTAGGGTTACAGGAAATTTCTTCGTAGGATAAAACTATCACCACTTTAGGTTCCAGGCTTAAGTACCTAAAGCATACTTAGAACTTTTAGTAGGAAGAAGAATTGATTTTTGGTGTGTCCCTTCTTCCCTATGCAACCATCTCTATTTATAGAGACGGAACAAGCATGTTGCTTCAATCCGAAACATTACCTTGTTCCAAGTAAACTGTTGCAACTTATGGGAAAAGATAGGAACAATACATGGAATTATTCAAATCAAATGCATGGCACCATTAGTTTGATTAGCCGGTACGGTTGGAACCAAGCGGCCTGCCTACTGGGAAGAGACGTCTCTTCATGAACCAAGGTCCCCATCCGTTGCCATTATCAAAATAATCCAACCACCAATTCCAAACGTTCATGGAACCTTTAAATTGGAATGGCCCTGCAAATGAAATTGCCCTCCACAACCGTCCATGCATTATAAATATGGCCACTTTAATGGGTAATTAACATAAAATGTCACAAACCTATTTACTTTGTACGAAACAGTCATAAATCTTTGATTTTGCACGTTTCAGTAATATACGTTTGAAAAAATAACGAAATGGTCATTCCGTCCATCTCCATCCAAAAAACCGTTAGTTTGGTCCAGTCAGCACGCCATGTCACTTATAATATTAATAAAAAATATAATGACCCAACCTAATTGAACCGGACAGCCCAACCAAAAACCCTAATTCTCTACCACCGAAATTTAGGAGACTAGTTAATAAAAAAAGAAAAATAAACTGTCATTTTCACTCGGCCGACAGAGCGATTCCGCTCCCCAAATCGCGCCCTCGAAACAGTCTCCCATCGCCAAACCGATAGCATCGCTGGGTCGGGTCGCCGGCGGAAACCAACGAAGGGATCTTGCGGGGAGCACTTTGAATCCTTGGGTATGTACCAATTTTTTGGGCTCTCTAATTTGTATGCTTCTCTTTGCTTCATGATGTGCTTTCTTCCTTGTCGGATAGTTTAAAGGAAAAATTGGTTCATCCAGAGGAAAAGAGAAAGAAAGTGGATGGGTCCGTGAGTTCTGTTACCACAACTAATGCTCTCAAGCTATTTCATGAAGATGTAATAGCAGAGGAAGCAGCAGGGAAGAAGATAAAACAGAGCGAGGCCGGTGCAGAACCTCAAAAGGGAAGTCCCAGCCATCTAGGAATTTATGTTGGAGAGCTTCAATCCCTTCTTCGTGATTATCCAACTGTCTTTTAGGAGCATTACCAGGTACTATCCGTCTCCAGCGACCCTCCATTCTTTTCGGCCGGCGACGCGACCCGGAGATGCTATCGGCTCGACGACGGGGGACTATTCTGATGGTGCGATTTGGGGAGCGGAATCACTCTGTAGGCTGTGAAAACGTTTTTTTTAAGTAACTAGTCTCCAAGATTTCGGGTGGTAGAAAATTAGGATTTTTGGTTGGACTATCCAGTTCAATTGGGTTGGGTCATTAAATTTTTTATTAATATTTTAAGTGACATGTCACGCTGACTGGACCAAACTAATGGTTTTTTGGATGGAGATGGACGGAATGACCATTTCATTATTTTTTCAAACGTATATTACTGAAACGTACAAAATTAAAGGTTTGTGACCGTTTCGTACAAAGTGAATAGGTTTGTGACCTTTTATGCTAATTACCCCCACTTTAATTATAAAGAAACGTTGCCAGGCCCAAGTGAGCGGTTGGATAATCAATTGGAATTGTAGGCTAATTAATTTTAATTATCCTGAGCCAATAATTTAACTAACTCGGTCCAACCTCAAACCAGTTTGACCCGGTTAGTTTGGTTCAACCAAATTTCCAACATTCCTCCCCCATTTTAGTGTATTCATAGAATTCACTAAAATCACCACACTCTTCCAACAAAACTTAAGCATAAATGAAAATGTCGTGACGATTGAATTTTCACCTTAGTATATTACACTTGACAAATATTCGAATACAAAGGGTGTCGGTAACGATTGAACCCATTGACTCATATGAATATTCGAAGATAATATACACTTAAGTTTTCAAAACTTCTAAGCGACTTGACACTATTAACCGCCATGTGTCCAATCCTTCTCATAAGCGCACACGAAACCAAAGTTCGGGTTTCTGGAAGCGGCTACACTTCATGCTTACGTAGGTTGAATCTCTTATTCATGTACCCGCATAATACACTTTTTCAAAGATTCAATTAAGAAGTTTTAAACTTCATCCTCCTCTCTCATGCAGGGTAACAAGCACATACCTCGGGATGACAAATTGTGTGCTTCAATTTCTGATAATAAGCTTTCCACATTGAATTCAGCCTCTAACGTTGTATTAGAGGGGAATTGGGTGTCCCATTACCAGAAATTATATGGACTTTAACCCATCCCTTTTACATACTTGATCACCAAGTCACTAGTTAACCACTTCGTCAAATGATCAACCAAATTATTTTTAGTTTGGTCATACTGTCTAGACACAACACTATGAATGATCAGTTCACAGCTTTTACCGTGCCTTACTCCCACATGACCGTACTTGTCATTTTCACTTGACTATATGCCTTAGCCAAATTAACATTACTATCACAAAAGATAGTAATAGGTGAGATTGGTTTAGGCCATAAATATATGTCATAAACCAAACCTCTCAACAATTATGTCTCTTCTCTAAGAGAAATCAAGGCCACACAAACTTTGATTCCATAGTGAAACTTAGTGATGCAAGTTTGCTTTCTAGAGGCCCAAATTATGGCACCTCTCCCAAGCAAGAGGACTCATCTCAATGTTGAAGTATCACCTTTAACATGAGAAATCCAATTAACATCAACAAATCCTTCCAAAATTAATGGAAAGCCACTATAAGTCAATAACGTGTGCCTTTGACATATCCTAGTACACGCCTCATTTCATTTCAAATGATGAGCACTATGATTCATCATGTACCGACTTAATTGTTCTATCGCATATGCAATATCTAGCATCATGCAAGTCATGCATACATCAAACCCATTTAACATGGAATACTCCAGTTATAAACTGGTTGGCCAGTATTAACCATAAGTTCCATACTTGGATCCATTAGGGTCTTTAACTCATTACAATTCCTACTATGGACTTTATGCAAGTACCTTCTCATGCAGAAAAATTGAGAGAAGGACTCTTTCTTGTCGTTCCGCTTGATTCAATACACAAAATCACAAATCCCTCCCCCATGTCCCACATGGAGAATTGAAATAACAACTTTTTATCAAAGTTCACTTATCTTTTATTGGTCCCAAAGATAAGCGTGTCATATACAGACAAATGTACGATGAATTCATTACCGGAATCATCATAAATTGTGTACACATTTTGTCTCCTTGGTTTAAAATAACATAAACTACTAGACAAAATCACTTATCTTTGATTGGTCCCA